GCAGAAATTGTAGAACACCCTGCTTCCCCTGCTGTTTCCGCTGAAGCTGCCAGCGCTGAGGATGCGAAAGAAAAGGTCGAGCCCCCTGCAAAACCGCAAACATCGGATCGAAAGTCTTTTGTTCCCAAAAAGAGAAACTTTGGCCGTCGAGCTGTGGAACCAGAAGCAACTCCATCTCCACCACCGCAACCTGATGAGCGCCCTGCTTCTGATCATTCTCACGAAGAGCAGATTGACGAGAAGGAGGACGAAAGCCACGGTGTGGAAACAGAAGGAGACAAAACACCTCGAACGCCTGATTTTGCCGACTCCACCGCTACCGGTAGCCAAGAAAAGGCTTTGGATAAGGAGCAAGAAACAGAGGTTTTACCAGACAAAACATCACCACCCCGAAAACCTTTCGTGCCAAAAAAGAGAAACTTCGGACATCGGAGTACAGAATCGGAAGGAGACCAGACTCCTGGCCCATCTATGCCCAGCCCCAGCCAAGAAGAAAATGCTAGCGAAGAGGCGGAAGAACCAAAAGCACCGCCGGAAATCCTGTCATCAAGTCGAAAACCATATGTGCCTAAGAAGAGATTTGGTCGTCGAAATGTGGAACCTGAATCACAGCCAGCGTCAACAACAAATGAGCCCGCTGCATCAATGAATGACACACAGGCACTGGAGAGCGAACCAGAAGGAACGAGAAGCTTTGGCGACAGCGCGAGCAATATGGCAGGTCCTGTGCTACCGGATGACTCTCTTGTGGAATTTGTAGAGGAAACAACAGAAAGAGACGAAAGCGCAGCGGCAGCGGAATCGACAATCACTGCTGCAACCCGTGCGGCAACATCCGCCGTTGCAGCTGCTGCGACCAGCATGGCCAGAGCTGTTAGCAGAGAATCCACCAACACTGTAGATTCCATTGAAATTGTCTTTGATGCGGATGCAAGCGAAACAATTCGTGATGATAGCGAGGGGGAATTACACGTCCAGCCATCCTTATTGGGAACGGTAACCGAAGGACAGAAGGAGGGGGCCGATCTAGGGCAGTCACCCGCATTCGAGGAGAATGATGCAGACAATCGCCCGCCTACAGATGAGACGGCGGATACTTCTAGATCGAAGCCACCAACAGTCCCTCGTAGGCCTCAGCGAAGAGAAAGAGAGGCATCATCGTCGGGTTCGGGTGAAGAGGCGGAGACGGCGCCTGCTAGTAGGGAATCTCATAGTGAAACACCAGTTGCGACCGCAGTGAAGAGTAGCGAAACTTTACCAGCGGAAGACGAACAAGGCCGACGGAAACCCTTCAAACCTCGCGCAAGGAATTTTGGGCGTCAAAAGGAGGAAGCTTCCAAAGAAGAAACATCTACGACACCTGAAAATGGGGAAGCATCGGCTGCAGCTGTTTCTGGCGTCCGACAAGCAGCAGGCGCAGTGACAACCTCACCCATGGAAAAGGATGTTACACCGACAATGTCAACGCCTCGTCGCATGGGAAGCGTCAGTGACATCTCTACTGATCCTGATGATGATGACGACGACGATGATGGCCTTTCGGACGAAGCTGAAATTAACGAGACATCCGATGATGACATTGAGGCGCTATCTCTTACCAGTGAATCCGCATGTGATTCAAAGGCGTCTGACGAAGTTTCGTTGTCGAGACGGATAGAAAAGGAAAAGGTGCAGAATTTGGGGGCAGCCGATGCGAAGGAAAATTTCCTGAGCACCAAAAGCTCGCGAGGGGAACTTGGCGAAGCCACTGACAATGTTGATCAGGCAAGGAGGGAATCTTCCACCATGAGAGCACCGCCGGGACGCCGCAGCTCCTCTTCAGAGCGCGGTTCCGATGATGGTAGCAGCAACGAAGCTGGACAGTCCAAACCTGAAAGCGAAAAACATAAGACGCCAACACTGAATGCTCCGCCGAGAAGACGCAGTGTTTCCCCATCTGACAGTCCCCAGGAGCCACAGACTGCTGAAAAAGAGTCATCCAACAATAGTCCAAAAACAAACCGGAGTTCTTTCACAATGAATGCCCCACCGAGAAGACGCAGTGTCTCCCCATCTGACACTCCCCAGGAGCCACAGATTGCTGAAAAAGAGTCATCCAACAATGTTCCAAAAACAAACCGGAGTTCCTTCACAATGAATGCCCCACCAAGAAGACGCACGTCTTCTTCCTCGTCAGAAGGTCTGCTAGAGGCTAAGGCACAGGAAGAAACATCTCAAGTGGAACCAGCTGCGGATCATATTGAAATGAAGGATGAGAGCCGAAAGAAATCCTCGATGAGAGCACCGCCAAGACGGCGAACCTCGTCCTCGTCGGATGAGAGCAATCCACAAGTCACTGAGCAGAAGCAGAGTCGGAAAGAAGCAGGAGTTCGCGGTGCTCCTCGTCGTGTTGCAAGCATATCCGATGAGGAATCTCCTTCTGAGGAACCCCCACGACGCAAGCAATACACACCGCGAAAATATGGCAGTGTTCGAAGGCTGGATGAAGCCGATTTGGACTCGGCTGCAAAGCAGTCAGGCGAAGAAGCCGACGAGGAAGAAGCACCGCGACGAAATAAATTTACTCCTCGCAAAATTGGCAGTGTCCGGAATCTCGACCCGAGCGAAGTAGAACGCGCAGGCAAACAACAGGATGAGGAGCCGACTGAGGAGGACGCACCACGCAGAAAGAAATTCGCGCCGCGCAAACTTGGTAGTGTCCGAAATCTCGACCAGAGTGATTCGGACCTCACGAGTAAACAGCAAGACAAGGCGCCAAGCGCAATGCGACGACCGCGACGACGCGGTAGCTATTCGGACGAGGAGGGCAGTGATGACCAACGAGAGGAAGCCACGCGACAATCCAAAACTGCTGCAAATGAGGTGCCCGGTGGTGCTGACGATGACAACGACCAACCGAGAAAGAGTCCTTACGCCCCTAAGAAATTTGGTTTGGGAGCGCCCAGACGAGTACGTGAAAGTTCTGACTCCGAAGAAGAAACAAATGAAACATCTGGTAGACAACCCTGGTCTCCACCAAAGCGACGATTTTCGAAGGAGGACGGCACAGAAGAAGAAATGTCGGATTCAAGGAGCAGGCCAGCATTTGGAGCCGACGCTGCACCCAGAAACGCTCGAGGATTCGGAGCGGACGCTGCCCCCAGAAATGCTCGCGGATTCGGAGCCGATGCCACACCTAGAAACTTTGGAGCCGATGCTGCCCCAAAGGAGAGTACCGGAAGAGCCTTGCCAGGACGAACAAGATCGAAAGTCTTGCGCGTCACGCCAGAGAGAGCAACGAGCTTCTCACGCCAGGCGCCGGGAAGACGTGCAGCAGCTGCTGAAGATCCTAATAGTGTGACCGTCCTGCAACGTGACCCTAATAGTCGCGGCATACCTGGACGAGCTGTTAGTATGAATGCAGTGGGTTTGAGCTCTATGCGCGTTCAGCGTATGGAGAGCAACACTGGTCTCCGTCAGATGGCGTCGTCGCTCGCACCACAGCAGGGGCATGGAATGCCAGCTTCTAAGGATGGGCCCCAACGCAGTGTGCCAGCACGTGCCATCAGCGCCAAGGCATTGCGTGTGACGCCAGAACGATCAACAAGCTTGAGAAGACAAATCCCAGGTAGAAGCACCGAACTTGCAGAACCGCAAGGTGAGGTTACCGTTCTGGAGAGAGCCGGCCCTGGCCGATCGGCTCCGTTGCGTGCTGCCAGTATGAACCTATCTGCTATGCGTAGGACTCCAGGTGCAAGCACAGGTGGTCTGAACAGGCAGCTAGGGGGTATGACAAATGATCGTTCAACCAGCGGTGCTTTGTCTATGGGGGGAAGTCGGGCTGCTCCATTACGAGCGGCCAGTATGGGTGTCGGGGGAGGACAAAGAAAGGCGCCTCTTCGAACTGTGAGTAGTCTACGCAGACAGGCTCTTGCCAAACAATCAGTCCCAGCAATCAGCGAAGAGGGGGGAGAAGATGCAGGGCTTCCGCTGGGTCGTCCTGGTCTGAGCTCACTTTCCTCGGCCTCTGGAATGGGAGTGCCTGGGCCATCGCGCCAGACTCCACAGAGAACTACTAGTGCCATGAGAAGGCAGAGGTTGGCAGAGCAATCAGGATTGGCACCAATGAATGAAGAATCCGACTCTGTGGATATGACCGGTTCTCAGCCCGTGAGGCGAGCACCACAAAGGACAACTAGTGCAATGAGGCGGCAGCAACTAGCAGAGCAGACGGGGTTAGCGCCAATGATGGAGGAGTCAGATTCCAATGACACTTCACTTGCTCCTCCAGTAAGAAGAGCACCACAAAGGACAACGAGTGCCATGAGAAGGCAGCATCTTGCACAACAATCAGGTTTGACTACAATGAGTGAGGAACCAGAGGCTGATTCTGTTGATAGGCCACTATCTCAGCCAATGAGGAGGGCCCCACAAAGGACAACTAGTGCCATGAGACGCCAACAGTTGGCTCATCAGTCAGGGTTGGCACCAATGATGGAGGAGCCACAGTCTGTTGATGCACCTTCCCAGCCTGTGAGGAGAGCACCCCAGAGGACAACCAGTGCCATGAGACGGCAACAACTGGCTGATCAGTCCGGGTTGGCAACAATGAGCGAGGATTCAGAGTCCACTGATACCCCACTTGCACCCCCAACCAGGCGAGCACCGCAAAGGACAGTCAGTGCCATGAGGCGCCAACGACTGGCAGATCAGTCAGGCTTGTCAACAATGAGCGAAGAATCTGAAACCCAAGATACTCCACTGTCTGCACCAACAAGGAGAGCTCCACCAAGAACAATGAGTGCTATGAGACGGCAGCAGCTTGCTGATCAGTCAGGTTTGTCAACAATGAGTGAAGAGTCTGACACTCCTGTTGCACCGCCAACCAGGAGAGCGCCTCAGAGGACGACCAGTGCCATGAGAAGACAGCAGCTTGCAGAGCA